AGAGGAACATGCTTGTGGCCTATTATTTCTACATGTGGTTGAAGGAAAGTATTTCTCACAGAACATATTTACAGAAATTATTGTAGTTCTTCTCTTTATGTGGCAGTGGTAGAGAGCTTTTTTCTCTGTACCTCTCATGATGATGTTCATTAAATACCTGTAACACATGAACTGGCATTACAGGAAAGGTGGTAATTATTGTTGTGCTATTACAGGTTTCTCTAGGCAGTGTTGAATTTGAATACTAAAAGTAAGGAAAGTGTTAAATGGCAGTAATTTAACACTAAGGTTATTGACTTGGTGTTTATTGAAACTTAATATTGTAGGAGAGAAAAACTTGAAACAAGAAACTTCAAATGAGAGTTACATTGTGTACCACTTGCAACTTTCTGTGGGCTGTGTATTCTGATGCAGGAGTTCCCAGCACTTAACATGTTATACAGGTTACACACAGTCTATCACCAGCATAAGCCGAAAGCAAGTTTTGAAATCAATGATTACAGGATTTTCTTTATGATTGTATTCACTGTGTGTGGTATCCTACTGATTGTTTATCTCTCAAATTATTGTATGCATTGTGGTGCCCTACTTTGATCCCTGTTCCCATATTAGAACTGTGACATAAGAGCTGAGATTTGTACAATGATTGTTATTCATATGGTCTTTGTCTGGATGTGACACTGTGTGTAATATTTTAGGCAGATGTTGCCTCCATCTTCAATGTTGAAAGTGTTCAACCTTGAAGACAGAGGCAGCATGTATCTACCTACAAGTCTACACGGTGTCACAATCCAGAAGACTGTAATCTGAATAAAACTATGACTTTCATGAATAACATGCAACTGTACATATACTTCATTTATTGTATTTTGCATGTGTTGTTCTTTTATTTATATTTTTTATTGGTTATTTACATTTGGTTGCTTTTTTTACTAAGTACCTTTTTAGGAGCACTCTTAAAAAATGTTCAGTTATTTGAATAGTGCTGTCATTTGGGATGTGGCACCATATAGTCTGGTAGAAGTTCCTCTGAAAGACTGGTGAACTTCATAACTTACTGCATGTTGTCACACCCCAGGAGATGGTCTTCTCCATAGTTACCACAGAGAAAGTCAAACTGAAACTATATATTTGAAACCTGTAACTTTCAGACAATAAGACTCAATATTATACTCGAAAAACATGGATTATATTGATTTCTAAACTTCATGTTCATTATAAATTTGCAAGCATTGTCACAAAATAATGTACATAAATAATTATTTTAATTTAATGGTGATTTCTGCATTGCTTAACGTTTTTGTTTGTATCCCTTCCTGTTTTAAGTAGTAGATCATAATTCATGTACCATAATTGGTTATTTATCACATCAGTATGTTTACTATGCCGAGATGTAATAACACAACCTTTATCAATGACTTTTAATATGTCTTTTTGAATTCAACTAATTTAATGTCGTGGCTTTGTAAATAAATATTACTTTTGTTTTGTTCATTTTATTTCATTTATTATCCTACCTGCATGCCCCCAAGTCATTTATTTTTTGTCTCCTTGGTGGTGTACTATGTAAGAATGTGTGATATCCTCCTTTTTGGTTTTAATCTACTACAGATGTCCTAAATACAGTGCTGTCTTCAGTATCAGTATTATTTTGGATAAATTATTTTCTCTCATGATCACTCTTCATTTTTCAGATTCCTTTGTTCATTATTGAACTTATTCTCTGAGCAGTGTTCATGTCAAGGACTGACAGATTTTATATGTATAGCCTACTTATATGTTAACACACTGAACACCACTGAATAGAAATTTTCAGTTGAAGTTAAGCCATTCAGGGTTAATAATTAAGGTGCTTTGCACAGTAAGACTGAGGTGTCTGACTGAGGTTGTTGCTGTGTTAATTTTTATAGTTATTCGCTTATTTTATAGTACCTTACATTTCTCTATGGCTGATATCCAGGATTCATAAATTTTCATATAGTAAAATTCTGTCATGCACAGTATTCTCTCACACCTGATCCTGTTGAAGGCCACCAGTAGCAAATGAACCCTATCGAAAAAGGGGATGTAATAAACAACAGTTATTCAAATAGTCATGGCATACTGAAGAGGATATGCAGTTATTTTTCATTAATATATCACATGGTGTAATTTCTTTGGTTCTGGTCATTTGAAAGATTAAATGTCATTGTATTATCATTACCTGAGCAAATTGGCAATGGTGATCTACCTCAGAAAAATGAAGTGAAATACCTGGGCATACATCTTGATAAAAGACTGACATGGGCAAAGCACAGAAAATCAGAAAGAAACAGCTCAGCCTAAAAGCGAAACAAATGCACTGGCTACTCACNAGCCTCCAATTTCAACATTGAGATCCCCCAGCGCTTTCAATCCAAGGCTCTCCGATCCATTCTTGAACGCACCTTGGTACATAAACAGCCACAGGATCCATGAAGATCTCCAAATGAAAAGAGTGCTCAGTGGGATGTAAAAGTGGAATACCAAATACCTAAAAAGAAAATAAAAAAACCAAACGCACTAGAAGAGAACCTACTAGACAATAGCGAAACTACATATAGACTGAAAAGGTATACCGTCCTAACTGTACCAGAAAGACCTGAGTAAAACCACGATACAAGAATTAAAGTGATGCCTAAATGAATGAAAAAGAGTATGTGAGCTACGAATATTGTGTTTCTGAACATTATCCATCGTTACACCGTCCTGTTTATTTTCAAAACAGAGCAATGGATTTTGGCTCAAATGAGGTTTCACCTGAAGACAGAGACAGAATCCAGTCTCCTAAAAGCTGTGTTTTGGAAAATAAACAGGACGGTCTTTTTTATAAAGACACGATGATGGATAACGTCGAGAAATATAATATTTGTACATCTTACGTTGGTGGGACTCCTATGCCATCCCAGCACTTTCCTGGAAGGGCTGAGGAAGACCACGGAAGCCCTCTCAGTCTGATGTCCCAACTTCAGAATCTGCCGAAAGCACAGCAGCAGTGACAGTCGGCTGAGACACTTGCTGTTGTTTTCAAGAAGTCACGGAACATTAGTCCCCTGCATCTTACACACCTTCCTCTGAAATAACGCCTCAGATGAGTACTTTGAGGGGGAGGGGGAGCAGTATACCGTGTTAGTGGGAATCCTTGTATGAAGGTCACATTTATGACACAGATTTTAACGAAATTTCTGGCCCCACGTATAGTGTGCCTTCATGCTTGTAAACTGTGGATGACGTTCAGAGGACTTCATTGCTAATTGCTCTGTCGGTTTAAGTTCGTGCGAATGGCAGGAAAGTTTAAGAGAACCTTTCGCCTACGTGGAATAGACTGTTGATAGGACAGTGTCTAAATATCATACAGAACTGTAAATGTCTGTATAATTCCTGAAAATGAACAACGATTTTATTTTTGCTAATCATTTCAATCGATTCAGTAGATAAAGCGATTATCTAGAAAACATATTTCCTCTTTCGTCACACTGTAATAGAAGCGGATGGCGGGACTAAATAATTTGAAAAGTATCAAACCTGGAGCAGCAGCACGAATTACTTATTCTCCGCGTGGTAGCGCAGTTGGTTGAGGTACTATGCTACGGGCCGTAAGGTCGCGGGTTCGCTTCCCGAGGTCATTAGATTTTTCAATTGACCTAAACCTTCCAGCCGCACTCTGGCCCCGGATTCCACTCAGCCACTAACAGAAATGAGTACCAGGAATCTTCCTTGGCGGTAAAGGGCAGACCGGCCGGCGCGTAAGGCTGACAAACACACCGCCGTCTCTGAGCCAATTGTCTAGAAAACATGCGAGCCTCGACGTCTCACAAACCTATGGGCCTCCAGGGCCTCTTACAAGGATGCCTTTACCTTTTACCTTTTTGCATTTAAGAGGGGAATAATGAAACATATTACTTGATGAGTGACGAATTCAGACATCCATTCCTTAATTTCATTACTGTTAATTTTAAATACACAGCGTTTTCTCTGAAATACATCTAATATTTGCAACTTTAATTTTACTGTTTTTGTTATTTTCAGCAAATCCTTGCCTGTTCTGAAAAATGTAGTCCAACTGAGGAATGTGTGTGTGTGTGTGAGTGGGTAAGTTGGTCATCCTGTTTTCGCTTCGCTGATATAACAATCGTGTGGACAACTGCCACTTGACTTTTGAGCCTGACCAACTAACCCAATGATTGCCGGCAGGAAGTAGCCATCAGAATTAAGTGGACTGAATTATTTGCTATAATTTCAGACGTGAGGGATTCTAACAGCACTAAACTTGCATGAAACATTCCAAATATATTTTCTGAAGGTATCATGACCTAGAAGATATTGTTATATTGCCTTGACATATTATCCAGTGTGACAGGCAGAACTGAGTCTTTGTATTTACAGTCGACATTTTTGTCCCTTTATATCGCAGACTAACACCTTGATAAATTCTTCACGCGCTTCTCAATACTACAGTAGCATGCAATAGCGTTGTTGGTTGGGGCACTACGCTACAAGCCGGAAGGTCGCGGGCTCAAGTCCCGATGAGGTCATTGGATTTTTCAGTTGACCTAATCCTTCCAGCCGCACTATGGCCCTGGGGTTGGCTTAGCCTCTAACAGAAATGAGTACCAGGAATCTTCCTGGGGGGTAAAGGGTGGCCGGCGCGTAAGGCTGACAACCTCACTGCCATCTGTGAGCCGATTGTCTAGAAAATGTGGGTACCTCGAACTCTCACACCCCCATCGGCCTCCACAGCCTCTTACAGGGACAGCTTTACCTTTTTGATTATCTTTTTACATCATTCCTTGCCTTAGCATGTGGTTACATTTTGCCAGGAAATTTGGATGTAATTCTGCTTAACACCTTACCATTAACTTTCTCTTAGGTTCAGATGCCTATACATATGAATTCAGTTAAACCTACTGTTTATTCATGCTTTTCTTATTATCAAGTGCTTCGCAGCCTTGCCCATAGATCTGAAGGCCGTGCTGTTCTAGGGCCAGAGGAGCCTCACATGCAGCATTCCGAGCTGAGGAACAGACCCAGTCCTGGCTCCACGACTCTAGAGGATGTGCTGGATTCGCTTCTAGGACTTCCCCCCACATCTCGCTCCCCCAGCCCAGGCGCAGGTTCTGCCAGCCCAGGTCACTGCCGCCCCTCGCAACCGCCTCCACCGCCCCCGCCGCCGCAGTCCCATCAGCACCACAATCAGCGTCGCAGCTGTGGGGACCTGCGCTCAGACCTGGCAGGTACGAGGACCCTGTAAGTTTCAACACCCCCATGAGATTCATGGGAGGAGGGGGGGGGGGCGAATTAACCATTCGTTTATTGCTGCCGATGCACTGTTTACATTACATTGAACACAACAAACAGGATCTAGTGCATTTGTTCTTTCATTCATGAGCAGTTACAAAATACTCCTAACTAGATTTTGTTATGTTAAGTTTAATCATTCTGTATCATACCAGTTTAGTTACATCTCTTATCTCACAATGGAGTTAGCTGTTAAGACTAAAGCTAAGGCAGTGCCATAGCTCAGACAGCTACCTGGGTTCGAGCCCGGGTCAGGTCATGTGGGATTTGTGGACAAAGTGGCATTTGGGCAGGTTTTCTGTAAATATTTCGGTTTTCCCTGCCAATTCGCATTCCACAGATTGCTCCACGATCATCATCATCTCCATCATCAGTCTTCTAGGGCCGGTACAGTAGTCTAGACAGCGGCCTCAGCACCAAGTGGACTCAGTCTCACCCCATGAGAAAAGTAACAAAAAGGAAGTAAAACTATCCCCGTAACAGGCCATGGACACCTATAGGGTTGTCAGATGTCGAGGCTCACACATTTACCCGCCCCCCCCGGAAGATTTCTGGTTCTCATTTCTGTTAGAGGCTGAGTCGACCCCAGGGCCATAGTGCGGTTAGAAGGATTAGGTGAATTGAAAAATTCAGTCACCTCATCATCGTGACTCAAACCCATGACCTTCCAGCTTGTGACATAGTGCCTCAACCAAATATGCTATTGGACAATATTATTTGTATAATGCTATTTTTTATTCTCCAGTTTTAAAAAAATCTGGCCCTGTAATCTCTAAGAAATGCATCCTGTTTTGTGTTATTACTATATACGAGTGTTGTTTTCCTGTCCAACAAAACAATATACCAAACAACTCACTCACATTTCACTGTGCATAACTGAGTTTATTGGTCGTACAGTGTCGCAAAATGTTTTGGCTCATGGAACCATCATCGGGTTTTACATCAGCAAACCTATACTGCTGAATTATGGCTCTGATATGGATCCATATATTGTACTTATCACTGTGTTACAATAAAGCAAAAAAATTGGTGTGCTTCTTTCCCTTTTGTTAATCAGCTCTATATGCACAGATTAAGTGATTGTGTCTTTATAGTGATTTAAAAATGTATTAAACAAGTATTTAAAACAATCTGTGTGTAGAAACATTCTGTTAGAGACTGAGTCGATCCCAGGGCCATAGTCCAGCTGGAAGGATTAGGTCAACTGAAACATCCAGTCACCTCCTCAGGAATTGAGCAAGCAACCTTCCAGCTTGTAACATAGTGCCTCAACCACCTACACTGCCCCGTTGTTCCTCTTATTGTGTAGAGTGTTCTCCTTGTTTCCTTTGGATATATTTTTATGAAGTACTGGTTTGGAGGCAGAAGAAACAGTTGGTAAAGTTTGCAATCTTATTCATATGTGTAGGTAAGTCAATAATCATTAATTATTATTATTAATAATTATTATAATTATCTGCAGTGTAGCTATAAATTTTATTTCAATACAAATAGGAAACTTACATTGACATCATTTTTCAACATAGTCCCCTTGCTTTTCAACGCACTTGGTCCATCATTGCACAAGCTTCCTGATGCCCTCAGAAAAGGTTTTCAGCTGAGCAGCAAGCCACGTATGCACCGCTTCCTTCACTTCTTGGTCCGAGGTGAATCGACGGCCCCTTAATGCCCCTTCGAGTGGACCAAACAAGTGGTAGTCAGAAGGGGCGAGATCAGGACTATACAGTGGATGAGCCATTACATCAAACTTGAGTTTCTGGAGGGTTTCAGCAGTGTGGGCAGCAGAATGTGGACGGGCATTGTCATGCAACAACACAACACCTTTCAACAGTAATCCTCAGCGTTTGCTTCAAATTGCAGGCTTTAGCCTGTCAGTAAGCATCTCACTGTAATGAGCACTGTTTATTGTTGTGCCCCTCTCCTGATAATGTTCCAGTACTGGGCCTTGTGAGTCCCAAAAACTGTAAGCATCAGTTTTCCTGCGGATGGTTGGCTTTTGAACTTTTTCTTGCTGGGCGATTGTGGATGTTTCCATTCCATACTCTGCCATTTACTCTCCGGCTCACAATGATGGATCCATGTTTCGTCATCAGTGATGATTCTGTCTAAGAAGACGTCACGTTTGTTACCATAGCGATCCAAATGTTGTTGGCAGATGCCCAAGCACATTTGTTTATGCAACACTGTGAGTTGTTTTGGGACCCATCTTGCACAGACTTTATGAAACCCAGGTCTGTTCTGGATGATTTCGTAGGCAGAACCATGACTAATTTGCAGACAATTTGCCACTTCATCAATAGTCACTCATCTGTCTAACAGAACCATGTCACGTGCACGCTCAATGTTGTCCTCATTTGTGGCCATGGATGGTCGTCCGGCTCCTTCCTCATGCATAACACTTGTGCGACCATTTTTTAATTTTTCAATCCATTCATAGACACTCCATTGCGGCAAAACACTGTTCCCGTATTGTGCTGAAAGTCTTTGATGGATTGCGGCCCCTGATACACCTTCTGACCATAAAACCGGATCACTGAGCGTTGCTCTTCTTTGGTGCAAACAGAAAGCAGAGCAGCCATGAACAACGGCAAGGCAGCGACGATGGAACTGACCTAGCGACATCAAACTTGCGCAGAAATAATGACAAGGAAACCGCGCATGGCGATGCTGCGCAAAATGACAGTGCTGCCAACAGAAACACAAATACAACTGCATTGCAGATAATTATTGACTTCCCCTCGTAGAAACTTTTTGAAAACGATGAACATAAGTGTTTATATAACAAACTGTTGTCAGTCACTGATGTGTCTTTGCAATGTTCTGACATTACAGCTAGATCATTTTAAAATAGATGGGGACTTCCATTAGTAATGTCGCGATTATACATAGGAATGCTAAGTTTCTCTGCCACAAAATATGTGCAGTAAAGAACATGTAAATTTGCTACATGGTAAGCTTAAATTAGTCAATTGTGATAATCTTTATTAACAATAAAAGCTACAGTTATTTTCTGTTCTGATTAATGCTTCTTCATAAAGAGCCTTACATTTAAAACTGTGGCCATTACTCTGCTATCAGGAAGGATATGACCTTGATACAGTTACTTTAATATTATCGGATGTGTTTTAATTATGTCTAAAATGTCATGTCTCATAGTTTACATCCAAGAAATTTATTTCCAAGCTTGACATCTGCCATTTGAATTAGAAGTTATCTTACAAGCCATCGCGATACCTTTCTGCAAGAGTTATTAAAATTTGTTGTGCAGATTGAGGGAGCCAGAGGTCAAGATAAAGTGTGTGCTTTTCATATTCATCCTAGAAGGTTGAGTAAGATTGGCACACCACAAGTGCACTTGTGTGATGGACGCGGGCGGTGCCCACAGGGTCAGCTAGTGATGATCAGCCTGCCGTTCCAGACCCGCCTCCGTACTATGTGTCTGACACTCTTCGCCGGAGGAGTGAAGGCAGCACACCTCGGCCAAGTGGCAGCAGCAGGCGAGTCTCCTTTGACATGACCACTTACTGCAGTGGGGGCCAGCAACAACAGCAGCAGCAGCAGCAGCCAAAGCCTGATGACTCTTCTGTGGTGCGATGCCGGTACTCCAAGTGTGGACGGACTGCCAGTGTTGCTGAGGCACGGAGGACATTCAAGACGTGTCACAATTGCTCACACGTGTACTGTTCCAGGGAGTGTCGTCGGGCACATTGGGAGCGTCACCGCAAGACGTGTCTGCACTCCCGTGTTGGTGCGTTATGCCGACAGGTGCTGGCAACTGCTCGCGAGGATCCTGCCACTTTGCGCCACCTCTCCTTACTCGCCAGACGGGGTTACCTTGCCCAGGGTCGTGGAGCTGTCAAGAGCTTCTTTTCCAGCCCCGAGCTTGCTGAACGTTTTGTTGCTAATGGGTTTGCTGATCTGGGGGAACCTGCCTTTGTGTGCTGGGCCGACTTGCTGCCTGGTGAGATGGGTGCTGATCTGTATTCAGAGCTGCTGCGGCTGTGTAAATCGTACAAACCAGACACCCGCTTTGTGCTTTATGTGGCAGTGTGTGTAGTAAGTGAAGTGCCGACCTCAGGTGCTGTAAAGTGGGAACGACAACTTGTGTCAAGGTGTGCCAAGCTGCGTCTATGCCGTTCCTTGATGCCCATAGCACCTCCTCAAGCCACTAGTGGCCCTCAGAGGAGGGTCTCACCATGCAACATCACCAGGGACTCTGAAAATCCTGAGACGTTGATCCTCACTTCCCTGCCTGGTTGTCAAGGCCAGATGGCACCACAGCGGGCCCGTGAGATTAGCTTCACTAATATCCAGAGGCATCTGCGTCAAAGGGGCGTTAGTTTGCGGCGGCACTTCCCTGACGTGTACAAGCGGTTATGTGCCTATGTAGAAGGGTCAACTGAACGTTTCGCGCCAGTCACAGTGTATCCGCGAGATGCCATAACAGGAAAGAGCTTCATGTGCATCATCATGCCAGATGCGGAACCAGAGAAACTGGAGCTGGTGCCTCGGGACAGCAGTCGCGTGCAGACCATTGACATCAGCCTAGAACATGAGGTCACATAGTGTTAAGACTCTGTCCCCACTACTCTGCTCTCTTCCAATTCCACATCTATTGAAATTCATGTCATGTCAGCAAGATTCTATTGGCTTAGCTGTGGTGAAATAGGGGGCTGTAATGAATTTGCTGCTGGTGCTATATGGCTTTAGAAACTGTGGTTTCTTTTACACTGATGTGCTAAAAGGTGCTCTTTTTATAAATATTTTTGCCCCTTGAGCATTCTTTCACATCATAATATGATATTGTAGACAGTTAACTGTGTAACCATACTTTGAATCCTTGACAAGGAAATACAATTTACACAGCAACAGTGAAAAAGAAGGTTTACTTTGAGATAGTCATTTTCTGAGAGGTATGTCAGGCATGAAAAATGCATTTTAGTACATCTTAACTGAAATTTGTGTGTTTTATACCTTAGTCAGTAATATGGTGGTCACATCCTCAGACTAAAATATATAATATTTTTGTGTTGTTTGAGTTGCAGGCCAGAAGCTATTCTCAACACTTAGACATAACAATGCAGGAAATACCTGAACAACTCAGCCTAATTTTCTCATTTATCTCGTATAAGGGAAGTTTATATTCAATGTTCCGTATTCGGAAGCCGAACCTTTTAAGATGGGCAAATGTGGATGAAACTGAATGAAATAAGATTTTTATATTGAATTATAAGTCACTGATATTTGCTTAAAATATTTTTCTCCTTTTAACATCAGTCCAGTAAATTTATAACATGAAAGGTTGGTTGACTGGTTTCCAATGGCTGCATTTGGGACCATTCAACCCATTTTGCTTCTTGCTTCCCAATAGAGAGCACTCAAGTTCTTGCTTTGTTGCACCTCCTTGTTAAGATAAGGACATTTGAAGAAGGCATTCTTTTCCCATAGATCAGTCATGCCCAACATGTCGATCGCGGGACGATTTTTATCGATCTCATAGGCCCATAAGGAAATTATACGTGAAAAGCGTGTATAATATGATCATATTCAGATTTTGAAAGGAAAATACGTATTAAAGTAGTCTGTACTTTCAATGTATGTTGCTCTACAACAAACATCATGTGTCATGTTATTTTTACCAGTATTTTTGCTTAAAGCGAGGTACGACCATAGGAGGGGTTGGTAGGTTACGGGAAGTTTTGACACTAAAAAGTCGATCACAACCTGTTTGAAGTTGGACATGCCTGCCATAGATGATCCTGGCACGTTGCACAGTGTACATTCTTCTGTGTTATATATTCCTATCTTACAAAGATATGCTGCAAGGCAGTCATGTCCTGTATTCAATCAAAAATTTGCAACAGCTACTTTTCTGGGTTTCTTGCTGTTAATTTCCCAAAGTTTTCCTATTTCTGACCATTTCTTTTTTGACTTCTTCTTTTGGGAAGCTTTGCCAGGTGTGTTGCTCATTTTGCATGACCCAGGGGACACGTATGACTTAAGGAATGTCACGGACACGAGCAACTTTGTCCCCCATAACATGAGAGGTTTCAGCACACAACCTCTTCTAGTGCTGGGAATGTCACATGGATCTGCATTGTCTCTGAGGCAAAGCCACAGTGCAATAGTCACATCACAAACTGTTGTATTAAATCAGACCACTTTGTAATTATTAATTTATGAATTATCGATTTTGTGGAGACTGAAATCATAAATCCTCTAGTAGTGATATATGAACAGCATTCTTCTTTGGATGCTATATAAGAATTTCATATAACTGACAGACAAATAATTAGTTGTGTGTCCATATCGGACAGTAGTCCTGAGTCATGATGAGAATAGCTTCTGGTACCGCTTACAGAGCAGAGTCGATGGGAACAGCATGCGGTGCGGCAGAGGTTCAAGTTCTGTGGCTGCAGGATGTTCATTTTGCTCTGTCTTTGCTTTTTTAACAGTGTTTTTTAAAACGATAGAAAATATAAGAATGACTTTTGAAACTAATATATATATATATAAAGGAAAGTTAGCATAAAGATCACCATTCAGATTCAGATACAAGGCATGGAGGATTCCATTTTTATAAAGTACTTAACTATGTTGATCTGTGATGAAATGATTTTGTCTGTCTGTCTGTCTGTCTGCCTGTCCCCCCCCCTCTCACACTTTTTTCAACAACTGAAACTGGTCTCTATATTCTAAGTTTCCTTGCATGAGTAAGAGATAAGAGAATGACTTGCTAGCACAAACTGAGAGCCAGTTTACTGACAGTTGTACAGAACTTGGATATGTCCGAGCTGAATGCCTGTACTGATTTAAGCATTTCCTGAATGATGACAGTCAGGTGAGGAAAATGAAACAAGGAGGAAACATAAGATCTTCAAAAACAGTTGTTTTGACTGCATGTGATGTTCGGCATCCTTGGTTTGCTAAGTGAAATGATCACTCATAGACCTGTTTGTAGTCAGTGTTATACAACTTACCTGATGTGCATTTTCATTCTCAGGAAATGTTTACATTCACATTGGTAGTGAAGGTGATGTAGTCTTAGCCCTGTCGTGGCTAGCAACTTCCAGCATATTAAAAATAATGACAAGTTAAACATAATGATCACATATCTTATCATTCTCCCACTCTTAAATATGTTGTTTATCACTGTGTGAAAATTGTGTGGAAGAATACTTTATCAGTTTTATCTACTTTTGCAGGGTAAAAACTGGCCACAACAAAGTAATGTATATCCCAAAAAGATATGCCACAAGTTTGTGACTCTCTCCCCTTCCATTTTTGTGAAATGCTTGCACCAAACTAAAGTACAGTTGAATATTTGCCTCCTGACAGGAGAGTAGGAAATATAAACATTTGAGGTTTTCACAGGCACTGGAGATTTAGATTGTGATCTTCTGAGTCTTGAAACCATGTAGTCTGGTAGACGATTACAAAAAAATATATACATGAGAAACATGCAGCCTCCATTTTCTACCCTGAAGATGGCAGCAGTAGCCTTCTCTAAAACGTTGGCAACCACTTACTAGACTACAAGGTGTTAAAACCAGAAGAACAGAATCTAAAGAGTGAGCAAGTAAAGTAAAGTGAAGTGAAAGTAAAATATCTTCTGCTATTGCTGGGATACAGGCACAGAAATGATGAAGAGATGAACAAATTAGGAATTTTGAATGAATACACAGAAATGAGGACTGTAGATGAAAGTATGAAAGGGGCAGAGAAATGGAACTGTTTTAACATGGGGGAGAGTGAGGAAGGTAGGAATGATGACAGGATGGACTAATAAAGCGGATGGGAAGGCAATAAGGGAGAAAAGAGGGCAGAAGATAAAGGGAGGGAAAAAAATCATTTTCCTTCTAATTTTTGGTGGACCATGCACCAGTAGTAGCAGAAACATTCTGGCTGCCATGATGACCTGGAACTTTGAATTGGTTCAAGCATAGAAATAAGATCTCTATGAATGTTAAGTTTTGTGTCAACAGTCTTTCTAAATTGAAGAATGCATCAAATACTCAATTCTGTAAACATGAATATCATTGCAAGACTTCAAAATTTAACCCAGGACACCTGTCGTAGCTTTGGCTGGATGTTGCCTATAAGAGGTCATCTTTCCAATCTTTAATTTCTGGAGACTGCAAAGTGGGATTGGAGTAAGTTTATAAATGAAAGCCTGAAAAAATAAGAAACTCTTAACATCATGCTAGTTTTTTTTATTGCTAGTGGGGTGGGACTAAGTCCCTTGTACTGTGGCCACTTCTGGCCTATTGTACCAGCCCCAGATGATAAGTGAGGGTGATTGTGGAGCAGTTGGTGGAATGAAGATTGGCAGGGGAAACCGAAGTCCTCAGAGAAAGCCTGCCCCAGTGCCACTTTGTCCACCACAAATCCCACTTGACCAGACCCGGGATTGAACCAGGGCCGCCGCGGTGGGAAGCCAGTGACTAACCGCTTGAGCTATGGTGCGGCCAACATCATATTATAATGCTGTTTGTATAAAGTATATTACCTTGTCATATACTTCACACATTTTGCTTAAAATAAATGGAGAAGTTGCAAATTTTTGTGCTTCTACTGATTAACAGAGGAACATCAAAGTAGGTTCTGTGGTTCTCTCAGCAAATTTAATACAATAGGTGCCTTTGTAAGTACATTTTGCGAATTCACATTATGGATGAAATACATATTAGTTAGAAATTGGGTGACCTTGTGGTGCTGTTTTCCAGACAACAAAACAACAAAACTGGTTGTCAAGCAAAGGAAGGTTTTCATAACTATATATTGTGCTATGTTGCCCACTGATCAGTGCTGAGTGATAACATTCTTCTAAAACATGATATACATGGGTGATGAAATGTATGTTTTGGTATGTTGAATCTTCTTCTGTGTCTCCATTATATACTAATAGAAAAACTGTCCATCTGTCAAGATGAGTATTGTTAGGTGTAGCATTGCTTCTGACCAGCTTCCAAATCTGTTCTATTAAACTATATTTTTAAATAAATACTGAAAGAAAATATATCAGACTGTTGGTTGAAACTGTTCTGCATTAAGTTTACAACTGCATTCTTGGTCATGCCTGAAACTAACATACGAACAGGACAAATTGAAAGTGATCAAATACTTCACATATACTCACAATACAATATTATGAAACTGATGTAAATATTTGTTTCATAACTGGTAGCCTTAAAAGGTTCCCCTAAGACTTGTCATATTCTTTTGTCTTGTTCTATATCAAGAGGTATTAACCTGCTTAGGATTTATGAAATGCAAATAAATTCAATTCAATTCAGTAGGTGAAACGCTGCATATTTCCTACAGTAATAGAGAATGACATATTACAGTAAGTTGTCATTACCTCTAGAACTGTCTATAATATGGTTTGCATGGAAATAATAGTTCCTCTTGTTAAATAAAGTAAATGTGAAATTCCCAGACATGCTTCTCTGTGTGGACCCTTTTGCACTTCCTCACAGAGTATGATTGGTTAATATTTTCTTTGAACCTACAGTTTGATTTCTGATACATAAGTCTGGCACTTCAGACATGTTCCAATGCAACACAAAATGAAACTGATATTCATAAACTTTCCTGCCACTTGTAATCTCTGATCTTGAGGCATCTTAAATGTTTCTTTTGAAATTTGCATGAGATCATAAATGCACTAGAAAATCTTACATCTTTCTCTATAAAAGTGTCACAGTAAATACTTCCAATGTTGACTTGGATATTGCAATTCTATATCAATTCTCAGCATTAATGTGAATTGCATCAAAACTATAGGTACATACTCTTCTGAAATGACTATGCAACAATGTATTTGATATGTAACAGCCTAAAACTAATTAATTTTACCTCAGAAGTGTTGTGTTTGAAATTATATGGGTATGTAACTCTCTATGCTCATGAACTTCAAAGAATTTCTGGTATTTATTACTCTCATAAAATCTCCTAGCATGAGAGAGAAAGAGAGAGAGGTGTAAAACTATTGCTTGATTCTGAATATGCAAATTAGTCACTATATAAAATATCAAATTTTGTTAATTTGAACTTTAAATATTTTATTGAAAAAATTACAATATTAATATGACAATATCTGTTAATGCCAACTTCTGAATCAAAGCTAGTGGACAATATAGAGATCATGTATGAACCAAAGATTGTCTAGAAAGCAACACCAAATATTGATAGCGGTTTTGTGAAGAGTGGATCATAAATGTTTGTTGTAATAATTTATAATACAGCATGGATCAGTGTTACATTATTTCATATTATTTGTAGGTATTTTGTAAATCATATGAACTTTGAAGTAAAATTACGTTTCTCTGCAGTTACAATGGTACATGTGTGCATGAAGTGAGAGGTGACAACTGTCATGATGACACCGGGTGAGCAGAGGGAACTTAACTGCATTGTTCATGTTCCTCAAACAAAGCATAAGTTTTGCTTCTTTCATGTATTTATATTTGTGTTGTTACAGAAATGAGTTGCTCTCCTTAAAAAATATCTCTTCAGAGTGCAT